TACTGGATGCTTTTCCAGAGGACCTGAGTTCAATTCCCAGAACCCACATGGCAGCTCACAACTGTCTTTAACTCCAGTTCCAGGGGATCTGATACCCTCATACAGACATGCATACAGGCAAAACATCAATGTACATAAAATAAAAATAAATAATCTCTTAAAAAATTACTTTTTATCTAAATGTAACTATTTAAATATGTATCAGTAAAATTAAATATCATGAAAATCAGACATTGATCCAGATTGTTTCATCATCTTGGATAGAAATCTCATTCTTGAAGAGCAGCCTAGGAGTACCAGATGATTTCTAGGTCTCTGTGAGTCTCCTCTAATGATCTGGCATGCTTCCTCAAAGACCTAAAGTTCTCTGAGCCCAGCCTGATGACTTGAGGCTGATTTTGTATTGAGAACAACCTGATGAGAATTTTTCTGGGAAGCAGGTGTACTCAATAGTCCTTTCCAGATGTCAAAACACCATTTCAACATCCTTGGAATTACAGGGCCTCTTGGACAAGCCTGATCCCAACAGCAAAAGCAGGGGGTGGGAGGGAGGTCCCCTGAATGCTGTTCAGTTAAAATCCAGTCCAGTGAGGTGTTCTATACAGAAAGATGCTTGCCACCAACCTATTGTGCCCTTGCTGGCCCAGAAGGAACACACCTAACACCATGCCTTCTACTGGGATTCTGGTGTTGGAAGAAATGAGTATCTTTCCACTGATGCTAAAAATGAGACTCCGAACATTCCCTTGAACTAAAATCTGGTTTATACTTTATGAATTACTTCAAGAAAGATAACTCCTTCTGTTGAGCTAGAGTAAGGTGATAATTATTTGAAAGCAGGTGTGTGATTTTTCTTTAAGATAACTTTGAACACTAAATAACTGTGTAAGTGAAATGAAACAGCAAGAAAATTCTAAACAACAAAAAAAGATCATTCATGTATTCTTGGCTATCTTCTCATTGACGTCCAAATCAAACCTACACAATAGAAAACTTGTAAATCATGCATACCATTTAGTTTTCTTACACCAGCAGCTTTATTTGACTAAATAATGCAGTGATGGAAAGGAGCCAGGGCTGAAAAGACAGCTCACAGAGTAAAGATATGCCTGACAACCTAAGATTGAACCCCATCATGGAAGATCAGCTCTTACTGTCTTCTGACCTTCACATGAGCACCATGGATGTATGCATCCCCACACATGCGCTCACAAATAAATAAATAATAAGTTAACTAAACTACATTTAGAATTCAACAAGCCACTGTCACTCACAACGATACACTTGTCCCTAACGTGAAAAACAATTCTCAGCTATTTCCACCCCAAAGGAATCTTGTTGGAGAACACACAGTCAAGCACAATAGTGCCTAACTAGACAATTAAGTGGACAACACATTTAATTACCTATACTATTCATCTAGTGAAGGTGATCCAGAGCTTCTAGAAAAGTCTCAGGCAAAGTCATTCTGAAAAAGGCTGAAGGTCAGCTAGATGGGTTAAAGGAGGCCACAGATTCTTAAGCATCTAGATGTGCTGGTAGGACTGCTCAGTAAGACACGGCCGAAGTGGCTCTGTATCAGAGTCTCAACCCAGGCAGGTCGCAATCGAGAGACAAGCAGCTTCTGCTGCTGCCACTGAGGCCAGCCAGCTCCAGAAGCCACAAGAGAAGCATAAACCCCCTGAGACTGCCATGCTGGAGGCAGCTACATGGAAGCATTTGGGGAACGAAAGCTCCGTGGAGAGATGGGGGGGAGGCTGGACAGGCAGGCACAGACAAGGAGCGCCAAAGCTCCTGCTAGGAATGAAGGGGCTCTCTTCACAGCAGAAGCTCCACATCCAGCAACCCCAGCTGACACCAGTTAAATCCACAACCATGAAGCCAAATCCCACCTGAATCTCCTAGCCCACGAAACCATGAACAAAATGAAATGACTGTTTTAAGTCACTATGCTGAGAACAGTTTGTTGTTTATAATATATCAGTAGGGCAGAGATCTATTTAATATGAAAAATATTAAAAGTAGAAAAGTTCAAACTGATCCTTTTATTAATGTGCATTTCAGTACCAATAAAGGTGGTACAAAGCAATCTATATTTTTGTAACACAATAAAAAAATGTAATAGCATTCAAATTAGCTATGCAAAAATACACTTTCCTAAATAGTCACCATAGTAATTTAAACATTGACAGGTTTGAGTGGCTCTTTCTTAAGACTCCCACCCACCTGTCTGTCTCCCTTTAATATAAAATTGAGGTAATACTGACTAACCCATGTAAAAAATGATCATCACATTTTACTACTGAAGACTATGGTACCCTCCAACCTGAGTGATTAACTTATCTCATGCTCAGTGGTTCTCATGTAATTACTACCATGAACCCAACCATCCTAAACAAGACAGAAGTGTGTAGTCAGCTGTGTAAGCCAATGGCATTTCTAACAGGATAGCAACCTCCAGGAAGCCTTCAAATTGTAGCCAGTTTTCCCCTCACTAGCTCACATAGCCCAGTTGCATACATGTGTCTTTGGACTGCAGACTTTATCTGGAAACCACAGAACACAGGAATCTCTACTAGATGATACTGATTAGAAAAGTGGATAATAAATGGCTGTTTAAAAATGTTTTGTTGAAAACTACTGGCAAATCTTGTTTGCACTAATAGTTTTTATCTTGATGTAATCCACTTAAATCTGTAACACTGAACTCAAACACCAGGAAAAGCCAACCCTAGTCTTCTAGACTGAACTGAGGACTACAAAGGCTTGGCAAATAAAAGGCCGGCGCATGCCTATTTCTTTGAAATGGACTTTCCAAATTCAGTATCATAGGGTATTTTGGCAGTTGTGCTAATTATATGCCTAATTATTCTGCTTACTGAAGGCCACTAAGACAGGAATAGTTGATGACATTATTTGTACAAAGTATATTTGTTGTAAATGATAGCACTCTTGTTCTGACTTGTATTCCACCATGACATCCCAAGCCTGGCCCTCCCAAAATTAATTCACCTTTCCTGGAAAAGGCCTGGGAAGATCCTATGACATTATTTAGTATATAAAACATTGAGCCTATACGCTATGAGAAAATAATTTCTGTTTCTACTTTAATCAACTCAAGGTCAAAGTGCATAGGATACCATGGGACCCCTCCCCCTGGTGCCATCACCAATAGTCTTGGGTGGGGGGAAATCAACTTAAAGGTTTAGTCTGTTAGAACAGTTAGCAATACTTCATTCAACAACGTTTGCTAGGAGGCAACAACATTTCAGGCATGTGGCAGATGAAAACAAAATACCAGAAGGTGTAATACACTAGAGAAAGGAAAAAAGACGAAGCAGCTATGCGACACACAGAAGGCAGAAATCTCAGAGCATGAACTGCCAGGGGGACCAAGTTTTAGCCAGAGAGGAAGGAGTAGCATAAGCTAGACCCAAAGGAAAATGTCAGCATAGTATGTGCAGCACAGGTACTGTCACTACAGGTAGTATCTACAACTCTCTTCATTCGTTTCCTGGGCAAATTGAAATTAATCCATTTTGTCCGGCATCATTCCAGAGCTCCCTGATGCACATGTGGTCTGTGCCCTTAAGGAAGCCTCAAATATATATATGAATGAAAAGATGATCAAAGTTCTTCCTAAGAAGAGCTACCCACCCCCAAGCAGTGAAGGTCACTTTTAGAATTACAACTAGAAAGCCATAGTGAAAGTTTAGAGAGTAAGGAAAAAATATTGGAAGTAGCAAAAAATGTTGCTGGAGAACTTAAAAGAGGCCGTAGGTTGTATGTGCCATCATTTTCAAATAGGTTTATGAAAATGAAACAATAAAATATATGCTAGATGAACCAATCTGGCACAGTAGCTCAAATCTGTAATCCTGGCACTCGGAAAGCTGAACAACAGGAGGATTGCCATTAGTTTAGGGTAACTTCCACTGCAGAGGGAATTGCAGGTCAACTTAGGATACAGAGTGAGACCTTGCCTCAAACAAAATATAATGAACCAATGAATGGAGTATTCTGTATGTGAAGTAAATGATATGCTAATTTTCTTCACTATAGTAATTCTTTTACTATGCATTCCTATATCAAAACATCATATTGTACACTTTAAACATTTATCATAGAAAATGTGAATTAGTGAATCAATTCAACCACGGCGCACATAAAATTTCCTAAATTCACTTTATTATTCCATTATTGAGAGGTTCCACTCACTTTCCCTGTGTTCCCCACTTGTATACATGCACAAATACCCATGCCCCTCTGTACCAGCAACCACCATCTGCTGCAGGGCACTTCAGTGGGAGACACTCCACTCTTCAAAGACTGATAAGTCATGCTGGACCCACGAATGCAAAGTATGCATGTTGGAGTGTTGCATCCACATGAGGCAGGGCCAGTGTGCACAAAATAGCTTCAAGGTTCCTTACCAGAGTTCCTGCAAAGCATAGCCCAGAGCCAGGCCAGGCCCTTGGGCATGCAGTAGGTACTTGGAGAATGTGACAGATTCTTCTTCAATTACCCTTTTGACAGTCAAATCAAAAGGCGACCATTACTCTAAGGCTCTTTATGCATGTGCATGTGGCTAAGCAGCATTTCCTCAGTGACTCTAGTGACAGAGAATCTAAAGTACATTTAAAGCCTTTGTGCCTGTCCCCAGGAAGCATCACCTCTCATCTGCCCACACAGTCCTGTCCTTTATTGGTCAAGGTTCTGGCAAAATCACTAGACAACACATCAGTAACAAGCTTCCAAATCCACAGGATCTGCTCGCATGAGCGGTCTACCCACTGAGTTACACTACACCTTACAATCAATTTCAATTTAGAGCAGCAGCGGCGACTGGGGAATGGATAAAGCAGGCGACTCACTGAAGAGGACTCAGGGACTGTTTATTACAATTCCAGTGCAGCACAAGCCGAACCTGTGAAGAGCTGTATCACATCTCAGCCAACCACAGCCCAGAAGGTTCTCCTTTCCCAGAAAGATGCACTTACCTCTGGGACGTTTTCTTATATTTCCTCCTGTAGAAAGAGAAGCATAAACTCATGTCAGAAAGATCCTGTAGCAGGCAATTCGGGGAGGGGATTATTTTAGCAGGGGCAGGCATGTGTGTCAACAGTTCTAGGGTTTCCTTCTGTGTTGTCATTCCAGGGTCCAGCTGCTAGTCTGTGGTTGTTACGTCGTATTTTGGACAGGCAGAAACACACGTAGACTTCACAATGAAAAGCAGCATTCCAAGAGCTCAAGGACTCTGCTCCCATGTGTTCCCCCCTTCTTCCCTTGGAAGGTAGTATGAGATCCCAGTTGAGCTCAGGCTTAAAGATGGCAAAATCAAAGTTCAAGCCTCAGCCTTTACAAGATCATTGGATTAGAGCACAGAGAGTAGAGGTTATAAAAGCCTTTTTTCTGGTACACTTAATGGCCAATAATTATTAGTTATTTGTACAGTAAGAGTCCTTTAGTGGTGTGTGTGTGTGTGTGTGTGTGTGTGTGTGTGTGTGTGTGTGTGTGTGTACACATGCACCCGTGTGCATTGGCAGTCACACATAGGACCTCAAGCATAATAAGCATATGTCTATTACTGAACTGTACCCCAAAGCTAAGAAGTCCTATATGTTCCTTTTAAAAATGTAGATATGTTACATTGCTAAACCATGAGATCAGATAGATTTTTCAAAGGAGGATGAAATGGGAAATGAGGCTATGAGAAAACTTAGAAGCAAATGGTAGAAGCAGCATCTACACGTGCTACAAGTTTGGTTGAGAACTTTCCTGGAAAGCAGGAAAGGCCAGTTACAGTGTATCTCTGTGACTTCTTTGTCAGTTGGCCCTGGACAAATCTCATGTGTCTTAGGACTCCTGATCTATCAAGTAGAGATGTGACACCTGCTCTGACTATTCCACCTAGGTCATAGTGACACTCAAGAGGAAAATGGCCTTTAAAATGTGTTGACCCAGTACCTCAGTGTTATTCACAATTGTGTCAGTTTTGTGTTAGCTCCTAAGATCCTCAGCAGAGTTTGAGCAGATTCTTCAATGGAGAGAATTAGAGGAAAGGAAAAACCTTGGGAGGAAGATCTGTCTCCTCACAGCATCTCTAAGTTTTCCTTTCTTTTCTCATCTGTTTAGACCCTTTCCCAAATCAAGGCAAATCCCACGCAAATAACCTCATGGCGTGTGAAAGTCAGCTTTTAAAGCACATGAAAACACTCAAGTTCATGGAAGAACTAAGGAAAGGCTGAAAAGTCACCCAAAGGCAAATAATAATAATCAGAGGGGCACCCGTGGCCGCTGCTTAGAATCCCAACTAATTCATCGGAAATGAGCCCCCGCAGAGGCTGTCTCGGGAAATCTGAAGAAGGCAGCCCATGCTACTGGTTTCAGCACCTACTCATAATAACCACTTGTGTCTTATTAATCTCCCATAGCTTTCCGAATGAATTTGTTCTAGAAAGAAAATAAGGCATGCACTTAAAGTGGCATTTTATAATAGCAACTGTAAGACATAGTTTAAGGGATTTAAATCTAATTTAATAACTTCATTGGCTAGGAGGCCTCGAATTCAGCTCTGTTGCAACTCATGCTTTAGTGTCCATATCAATGAAAAGGAGAGAATAATCCCAGCTGGAAATCAAGTATTTAGTTCACCAGGTGTTGCCCCTGCCATGTGCTGGGCATTCCAAGGATTTGGCTTCCTCTGCCACTGGATTTGAGCTTGTGAGATTAGCAAGCTTGTCACATGGACTTCTGCATCTGTCCCAAAGGCTTGTACATCAACTGGCACAGGGTCAGAAGATTGCAAATAGCCATTGGCCAAGCAAAGGGAGTCCTTGCAGCTGTCATCCACGCAGGACCAAATATGGCCTCTGCATCTGTTAGACCTAGGGAAAGGGAGACTGGGTACTACTCCATTCCTGACACTTCTTAACTCCAGAGAATTGTTCTTGGCTGTAAAGAGAGTAAGGTTTTCCTTAAGAGTCTCGTCTATTTAGACACTTCCACAAATCAAGGTGAATCCCACACAAATAATGTCATGGTATTTTAAAGTTGGCATTTAAAACATATGAAAACTCTCAAGTCCATGGAAAATACTCAAGGTTCAATATTCAGGTCTTCTTGACAGCACAGGTGGTACCCAGACACTGATTCCTGCTCATCCTTCAGGTCTCAGTTGAGGTATCATCTCCTCACAGGGCCTCCCAAGCTCAATAAGCCTCCAGCTGTATTTTAAGGAGGTCCGTGCTCCTAATACAGTTGCGTATGACTCCAACTGGTCCTGATGTATTACCATGATGGCAAGAATCTGTTCACTGTCTGCCAGCATCCTTCCTTGCCTAACGTGGCAGCTGTCCACAATGTTCTAGTAAAATGAATGCACCTAGCAAGAAATACAAATGCTTTTATTTTACTCCTTCCATTTAGTGCGGACTTATTAGGAAAGTAGGGATATCTCCTATAGCCATGGTTTCCTACAAATAGGAGAAATGTAAGGAGGAGTCTGGGGAGCTAGCTCACAGTTGGGGAGCTCCATTTTTTCCATTCCATTCCTGGAACTGCAAGTAACTCATTCAGATGTCCTACAAACCCTAGAGAGTTTGAACCTACTTCATACTTCATTGAAAGTGAGGCTCAAAAAATAAAATAAAATAAAATAAAATAAAATAAAATAAAATAAAATAAAATAAAATAAAATAAAACAACTAAGTAATTAAGTTACTAAATAACCAGGTGAAATAACTAGTTCTAAGAATATAGAGGCTTAAAGAGTCTGAGACAGCAAATAAAATTCTGAAGGCTTCAAAGAGTGTTGAGGAGAATTATGCAAAGAGGTTAAAAGATTCCAGCAGGAAGCTTAGATGCTGGAAGAAAACAAACCCAATGGCAGCAAAACACACAAGGGTCTTTCCATTCAAATGCAGGAAATGAGCTGGAAAAGAAACCCAGGTTATTCCTGGCCTTTTGTTTCTGAAGAACTTCAGCAGAATTCGTCCCTGACTCACTGCTTGTAGGAATGCTATTGTTTTGGTTGATTGAGTTTACTTTAAATATGAGCTGTGGAAACTTGAAACAATACAGCGAAATCTGGCAGTTCACATTGCTAGACTGGGCTGCTGTAGAAGGGAGAGAAGAGCAGGAGCCCCTTGCTCTGGAATCTGGATAAGCTGACAGCAGTGTGGGAGATGCAGAGCCCAAAAAGCAGCAGGGTCATCTTCACGAGGCCAGGCTGGGAAAGGACTCAACTTCAAAAAAGTCCCAAAGGTGGTTATTATGCAAACTCTGCCCCCTGGAATAGGTTCCACTGTTCACACCTCCCAACACACACACACACACACACACACACACACACACACACACACACACACACA